GTGAGATTTGAACCGCTGAACTGCAGTTAGCAGTCAGCTGAAGTGGCCTGCAGTACTGCACTCTAACCACTGTGCCACCTCGGCTCTAGAGTAACATCATCTGAGCTGGACAGTTACATAACTGTTCTAAGCAAATCAAATAGATAAGCATATTTCTTCCTCAATTTTCTCATCAAAATTATTTTCCATATATGGCTAGTTATTAACATCAGACCAGCAAACCTAAAATATACATTATAATAATCTTAAACTAGCTAAATTGAGGCACTCTTGGTGTTCTCTAAGCTTGGCAGTTTTCTTGTAGAGAATTCATTGCCCAAATAGGTAACATCATCTGTACAATGTTGCAAACAACCAAGTTCAAAGAGCACCAAGGATCTCTCATTTCAAACTTGAGCTACAAATATTCTCCTTTATTGATACTTCTTAATTAAGCAAAAGGGGCAAGGAATGTCCCAATCACTTAAGACTAACCCAATAGATGGTTAGAAGAGCTTCTAGTGTTAAGACCAAGATTATGGTTCTCTTAAAATCCTCCCCTGTGGTCTTCAGGGATATAATTTAGCACTTATCGATGATGATATAATAAAAGATGAAACTTGCAGCAGTTGGTTTTATCTACCTTGTCAAGAGGTGTAACAAACAACTCACTTATTCAGACTGGTGCTACTATTGTTTGGGGATTATCACTATTAAAGTTAGATGCCATCAAAAGTATATTAGTGGTGGGTTTTGGACCCCAGCGCAGTCAGTACACTGCGTATGGGGCTGGCCGTCTTAGATGAGCACGTGTGCTGTGCATGCATGCACACACAACCACCCTGCAACACCCAGCTGGCCAGCAGATGTCGCACAGACACCGCATGCTGTGCGCACGTGTGCAATGGGCCAAACACGTTATTAAACGGCCATGGGATGCAGGCGGGCGGGCCAAACGAGCCAAAGTACCGGTATGGTGGCCGCTTCTCCCGGCTACTACCAGGACGGCCGTAGTGGGCCATACCGCCCGGAACCCACCACTGAAGTGTATCTAAAATTGAATAAAAACTGTCCTTACAATTGTTTTTTTTAGAAATCAAGGAGAGGGAACAGTAACCAGTTTGCATATTATCCAGAACTTACTGCTCCAGGCCGTGGCTTAGGAATCTCTCCATTGTATCGCAACCATTTTGTATGGGATTGTTCAACTGTGGTGCTTTGCATGTACTTTCCTTTGGCAAAAACATCTTCCACTGTAGAAATATTGTAGGCACATACTGCTGAGAGACCCACATTATTCCTTAAAAAAACACAAAAAAAACATGGAAACTTATTCAACTTTTTACATTCCTGTGGTAACAAATGGGTCTCTAAAACAAAAAGCTATTACTTACAACTGAGGAGTAAAAACCCCATAAATCACTGGTTCTTTTAAATTTGAAGTCTTTAGGATAAAAATATCATTGACAATGTTGAAAAATAAATTTTTCTCTGGGACTGAACAAAACAACCGAGCCTTGAGGTAAGTAGTCCATTTTTTTTGTAAAGTTCGATGTCCTCCTTGGTCCCCCTTGAAAGAAAAAAAAGCACATTTTCATTGTCCAAGATCAATTTTTTTAAAAAAAGTTTTGCACTGTTAAAGCATCAGTAATATAAAAATATGAAATTTGCCAAGCCATTTTTACATTTTAAGCACTTACTTAAAAACTGCCAAACACTGAGGAAAAGTTCCAACCTTAAAATATCCATATCCAAACTTAACTGGAAATGTTCTAACCACAACAGAGACATTTCTGCTACAATATGGAGGTGTCAATGGTTTGTCTGGAGAATGTCTTTGCCAAAGTTTCAACATGTTATTAATAGACAGAATGGGAGATTTGAGAATTAAAATGTTTTGACTTCAGAATGTATTGTATACACACACTCACCCACACCACCATCACAACAAAACTTTTCAAATAAATGAATAAGGCCCTGTAGGCAGTCTGTGCTTTTACATAATTTTATATTCATAAACGCCATTCAGTGTCTCTATAATGTTAATGACTTGAGGGCTGCTGTGATAAATACAGCTTTTTCCCACACTCCAAACAACCTTGGCATTAGGAAGAATTGTGTCTTTTCCCTGTGCAACTTAATTGATATCAACCTGGGGGGCAGTTGGAAATGTTTGTTTCCCTCTACCTTTGTGACACAGGAAGAATTGTGCTCTTGCACCGCAAAGTAACAGGAAGCCTCAATCTCCAAATAATGAATTTTAAGCCAGAGCTTCCGAAAGAGAAACATGTTACACTGAAAGAATTATAATTTAAAATATCCCTTGTCTTCAGCCTTTGCTGCGACCACACTTTTTCTTAAAAAGTAGACAACTTTTCCTAAATACCACCAGCAATGCAAAAGGATGTGCATATATATCAGGCATGAAATACTCTAATCTTCGCTACTGGTTCAAAAGTGGCAGCGTGCTTACACATGGTGCTTCTGCGCATGCGCAGNGTAAATTAGGATAAGTCTTTATTATCAGACTAAGAATTTTTAACTGAATTTTAATTATGCAAAATGGGCTTTTGCTCTTTACACTACTGAACATAATTTTCCAGTTGTCTCTAAATAAACTTTATTCTCACACTTACCAGATGATCACAGATAGGCTGAAATGCATTTGTTCCACACACATAGAGCAAAGTATCATTCAAATATTGTAAGACACGAACATAGTTAAGGCACTCTGTCTGTAAAACAAAAAGAAAAAAATTGACAGGAGAGAAAATAAAGATAATCAATCAAAACCTCCATGTTTTTGTAAAAACTCCAAATTGGTAACATAAATGGCTTTAACTTGTGCACACAGGTAAAAAACTGTTAACTATATTAGCCCATTTTTGGGCAAAATTTTAAACATGGGGCTTGAGTAGGTCTCCCATTGCAGACTGTGAAAGGGAAGACATCACGTTTAGTCCTAAATAAGATTCTTCATTGGGCAGAAAAAACTACATAGGTAGCATCTGGTAAATTCCCATCTGGGGTATGCTGTATAAGCTCTAAAGTGAGATGAAATATAGCTAATCTCTGTTTGCTTTCTATAGCTAAAACCCTTTCTTTAATAATTCTCATAGCTTGAGTATATTGCGTGCCTTGAATATATTGTTGATGTGCAAGTATGCACTACTGATTTCACCGCATGTGTAAGTATTGGACATAAACTTATTGTTTTATTAATTTAATACAGTTTCATTGAATCTATTTTTAGTGAGCTGCCAATCTAAGTATCATTTTCAACTGTGGTAGGATGCTTCAAAAATTCAGAATTCAGTTGCCTACTTTCCATCTTTAAAAATCTTTTGAAAGATAATGAAAAATTAACAAATTGACAGTGATATCCAACAACTTTTCCACAAGCATTATGCAAATTGGTTTTTTCCTGAAATCCTATATCTATATAAACACTGCATGAGCCTACCAAAGAGATTGCAAAGAGTGAAAAATGATTATTTGATCCTCCTTTCATTTTGAGGCTATTTCCTCGGGCATCAGAAAAGAACCACAGCCTCACAGCATGGAGCTGGGAACATTTCAAATGAAGGAAGAAAGGGGAGATGCCAAATGATGGATTCCACATTTGTGCTGTTAATCAAAAACTGATGTTCAGGCAAAGGAGATAATTCTATCATCCTAGTAGGATAGGGGTGGGGTGGGGGGAGGAAATTATTCCTGTTTCATTCAAAAGCAGCAGTAAAGAAGATCCAATGTAAATACCTGTGGGGTTATTTTCCACCAATAGGTTACCAATCCTTCAACACTAGTGTTTCCAAAGTGTTGCAACACAAAGGCAAGCCTGTATACATACCGGAAGGTGAAAAAAACAGGGAGAAGCAGTAGCTGATTTAGGGAGTGACTGTCCCAGTTGGATACTGCGTCTACCACATTTAAAGAATGCACAGGAGTATGCATTCTTAGCAGTGCTTTGTGATTTAGAAAAAATCAACTATTGCCATACGTATATACACAAATGTGGCACTTTTAGCAATAGGACTTACCATGGAAAACTCACTCTATTGCAATTTTGATTAAAAGGCCACTAAATGGTTTCTTCATACCAATGCTTTCTTCAAAGTAAAATGGATATGGGACAATCAACAACATTTACTCACCTGTTTTGATTTGCCCTTTTCTGCACATTTCGTTTTCTTGTCTTCTGTTACCTTCCAAAACACCTGGAGGAAAACAGAAGAATCAATCAAAAGGCTTTTCTGATGCTATTGCCCTCAGCAACTAACACTAAAGCCAGAAAATAGACAGCATTCCAAGACAAACATAAATGAAAATTCTAAATTAACTAGGTACACTCTTGACAAATAACTTTCTCACATATACCTGCTATTCTGGAGCTATATCAACACCAACTAAGCTTAAGCAACACCAACAAAGGGCAAAATTATTACACATTATATATTCTAATCTATACTGAATGAATTTCTGCAGTGATTCATTATACCCTGAAACTTAAAAGATCCTTCTCCATGCTTGGAGACATTTCCTCCAGTGAATGGGGAATATAAGCAGCAGGAAAGCAATAATATAAAAGGCTACTGTGAATCAAAGAGTCAGCAGCTGGAAAATAGCTGACAAGTTCCACCCAATAAAAGCATCTAGATTGAGTTTTTGAGCTTTCCATAAATCTATGCCAGAATTATGCTAGCAGAATTTCACCAGCAGCGTGCTTCTACTCAGAACATCTTTATAACCACAGAAATCTTAATATCGCTCTAAAATGGTACTAGGAAGCAAATGGTACTAAATTCAGTGAGTCTTATCTCTGAGTAAGCATATGTATGACTGCATCATTGGCAGAAAAATCTGAGAACCATAAAACTGCATACCTACCTCTTCCTTTATTTCCACAATGTTGAATGAATTTAAAGCAAATATAACTTCTCTAGCCCCCACATACAAAATATCTCTGTCTTCATCTAGTAACAAGGTTGAGTAGTTAGATATTTCTGGATCTTGAAAATGTACCAGATGAACTTCTGTTAATAAACAATGATTTCAGAGCAAATGTTAATTCAAAAAGTGGCAATCTTAAGGCAAACATTAATCAAAACAAGGATTTGTTAAGATTCCTCATTTTGAGTCATGCAATATTACATTAAAACAGCACAATCTACTAACTAGGATTAAGGGAAAGCTAAGAGGCAAAAATAACTTTGTAAAAATAACTTTGTAGGTCAGAGTTATATGAAGAAACCTGATGTTTGAGATTGGGGCTCTTACTGAAAAGCAAGTATGAGAAAAATGAGGATCCGATACTGAAGAATTAACCAGAAATACTGGAGTACAAATATTAGCGTGTATATTAGGATTAATCTCAAGGTCAAAATAATTTGAGACAGACTTTAGAATGCTACTGGGACAAAGAAGTAATTGTTTCTTTAAGTGTAACATATAACAATTATGTAAGTATTTGGTTCTCTGCCCATACATATTCATCACAAGTCAAAGAGCAAATGTAAAGAGAATTAGATTTTATTCAAATGGCCCTCATTCAAAAGACACCAAATCTTGTGACCTACAGTGAAAGATTTTATCTATCCATTTTTAGATTAGTTTTTGTCACTTTACAATAAGTAAAGAACAACCCTTTACTTAACCATAGATATATTTCAAGGATTTGTTATTCATGGGTTTATGATAAGCAGCTTCAATGTTGGTATAAAACCCCAATGGTGTAAAAAGGGCCACCTACATTAGATGGAAGATTAATCTAAATAAATAAAATCTAATTTATTTTAGATGGTACAGCTATTCTTTTAAAGAAGTCTGATTTTTGTTGGAGAGACGGATACAAACATTTATCAGATTTAGTTTGCTTTAATCAATTTTCCTACTTTTTTAAAAATTTAAACTTCTTTACAAATAGTTTGAAAAATGAATAACTTTAATTATCTGTTCTATTGTTGAAACTCTATTCATATTTTGTTGTTTCATTATGTTCCTGAATAGCAATATGAATTGTATTCTGAAAGAATAGGGGAAATGAAAAGTCATAAGGAACAATGAATTGCCTTTTGAGGTTGCCTCCGAAAACACTGAGGAATAACCAAAGGCAAAGATAAAATGGCAGCATATAATGTTGCTTTCTATACTGTCACAGTTCCAAGTCTTGTTAGAAACTTCTGAATGGAACTTGCATTCCCATTGATTTTATTTTGGTTTTGAGCCAAGTTCTATGGATATATAAATACAATACTGCCTTGTTTCAGCACATTTAACTCCTCCCTTCCACAATGAATGAAAGTATGGTTGAAAATAATTAAGGAAACCTTGATTTGTTCAAACTAGCTGCATTTTTTTTTTGAAGAAAGCTATTTATCAATCTGATTTGAAAGCAAGGATAAGCAATTTGAAAGAGCTATACGAAAAAAAAACCTCCTGATCCAACATATAGATTTAAGGATATGTTGTCCAAAACATAAGGAATAGTTGCTGACAGTGTAAGAAGTGCTATCTTGGATGTAATGAATTTCAAAGAAATAAAATCTGCATATAAGGATTTCAAGATATGGACATACTGAGAGGGAGAGTCAGGGGCAGATAAGTACAGCTGGGAACCACAAACATGGTGCTGACAGCCATGGAGCTTAATGAGGCCACCCAGGTACAGTGTATTTAAAGGAAGAGCAAAGGGCTGAAAATGTATCTCAGGGACTACAAGAGAAATTGTTGGGGCAGCTTTCCTTGAAGAAACATTTAATAATCAATTAAACAAGTAGTAAGAACACCAGCTGAGGACTAGGTTGCAGAACTCTTCAGCTTACAAGGTCTTTTGAATAGCAGCTATTTAAGAGGAACTGTTTGCCAATGGACGTCATGTACAAAATGTGTCACTGTTTGGCTTTGTATTCTATTTAATTCCCTTGAGAACTACAGTGTGTTAATTAATCTATCAAGTTCTGATTTTCTTTTTTCTTTAGCCAACCCTTGAAGTGGACAACTTAATAATGAAACATTTCCTTATGAACCAGATAACAGATTGGACTATCATCATCGCTCAAATTGATATCCACCAACTGGGTTACATTTACCAGTTAAAATAACTTATCACTTGAAAATTTCTCCTTAACCAATAGATTAGCCATAGCCATACTGAATTTCAGGGAAGGGAATAAAAATAAAATTCCAGCTCTTATTACATGGAAATTATTTGCATTTAACTCTTGCTATTACACAATGGGAACTCATCATGCTTTATATCTGCTTCCTTCTACACGTACACTGTTTTTCTCTTTTGCAAAAAGAGTTATATGAAAATAAGCTCCATATAGTGAGTTTAGGAATGGAACATTGGTCACTAAGCTACTTGCCCAGCCAAGTTTGCATTCTTTCCTAAATGAACATTATTTCCAGTACTGTGTCTTATCACAAAGAAAAGAGGATTAGATAAGGTACACAAATGACCTAAATTAAATTCCCATTTATTTATGTAACTGTCATATTACAACAGTTTAATATTATCCATTTGATGTATTACACAGTACTTGCAAGTAAGATTTACCTAGCGTTTTTATTTCCATGAATTGTAAAGGCAGACTAGCAACATAATTAGAATGCACTAAATGCATATATCATTAGCATAATCTGAAACTATTTCTTACCTTTATGTTCCCATGAAATTCGGGGCATTGGACCTAATGCCACTGACATTCCAAGATATAAACTCATAATCCCATATAGAGCAAGAGCCATGTCAAAAAATTTTGTTTTACAATTGTAGATGGGTAAGTGCAGCAGCAAAACGTTCATTTGGCAGAAAAAAAATCTGCCTTTTAACTTAAACAGCTTGTGCAAATATAGAAATCCAATTAAATATGCTGTGGATTTCTCGCCAAGGTGTTTGCAAAGGTCTATTATTGGATCACTTCTTCCAACAAACATATATTTGCCACAATGATGAACAGAAGAAGCTTCCAGAATGAGTCTCAGTAACTCTTCTGCTTCTTAAGCACATGTTTCTGATTAGTTGGACTGGAATATAAACCTGCAAAAAGAAAAGAAAAGGAAGGAATAAAGTGGGCAAAAGTTTTCACAAATGATTTCCAAACTACTCCATTCTTTGTAGTATAGCAGAAGACTGATCTTACAAAAGGAAAGACTAGTTCATTTTTTTAAATAGGAAATTGACAGTAATATTTTCCATGTGGTCTTGTAATTTATTTATGAATAGAAGTTCAATATACTTAGACACACATTTGCACATTGGAAAAAGATGTGGTTTAATCTTTTTGAAAAATCCCAAAATAGAATAAATCATTTACAGTATACTCACAGATGTTTTAAGATACAGGAAGCTTGAGGTATTTCTATGAATTCTGTTCAAATGTTATCATAATGGTTTCTAAACTACTAAAATACTGCAACGTGCTCTACATGGGGCTGCCCTTGAAGAGCATCCGGCGACTTCAGCTAGTACAGNTATGCCTTCAATATATTGTTGACCTCCTGATGACTGCCTCAACTAGTTTCTGGAGTTTTCTCGGCAAGATTTCAAAAGTAGTTTGCAAGGGCTGAGAAAGAGGACTGGCAAAAGGTCATCCAGCTAGCTTTCACGCCTAAGGCAGAGCTAGAATTCACAGTCTCCCAATTTCTAAGCCTGGTACCTTAATCACTACATCAAGCTTGCTCTCATATTGCCCTATCCCCTTCCATATAATTCCATATTAAAAAATGAGAATCCAGATTATATATTAGTTGTGCTACCATTTCAAAGTAATGACAAGCTGTCAGTGTGCAGAGAACCATCATTGCCACACCAAAGCACATTTGGCAAAACTGCTGGGATTTCACAAATCTTGCAGGCTTTAATCAGCTTGAACTGCTTAATTACATGTTGCAAATTAAATGCACAGCCTAATATGTTACAAACTTCCGCACCCTTCCACCCACAATAAAAGTACAAGGTGACAAGAGCATTAAATGTTCTTGGGGGAAAAAACACATTGTTTCATGGTAAAAGGAACTTTTACTGCACTCACATAAAGAGTGACAGAAGCACATAGATTATCAGGAGTTTTCTCTTGGCACAGAAGGACACATTCCAGTCGAACCAGTTTGATACCTTAATGGCCAAGTGGTCACTATTTCCCAATTCCCTCAGGCTGACAATGACTGATAAGCATATATGTGAGGAGAGAAATGTGTGATAGTATCATAAAAGCCCTTTGTTTTTCAGGATACCATACCAGTGGTGAAATTCAATTTTTTTATTATCAGTTCTGTGGGCATGCTTGATGGCAAAATCCCCATTTCCACCCCACTCCAGGGGAAGGATAGTGCAAAATCCCCATTCCCACCCCACTCTGGGGCCAGCCGAACTACACAAAATTTCTGCTACCGGTTCTCCAGAACCTGTCAGAACCTGTTGAATTTCACCCCTGTACCATACCAAGTCTTTGGTCCTCCCCGCCGCCCAATTTTCACAGACATTTAGCAATTCCAGTAAGCAATTCTGTTCTCTCAGCAAAAAGCTATACAAAAAGCATTAATTGTTGAGAGTAATTTGGATTTTTTTTTAATGTTTCCTTCCCATGGAAAACTTGTTATGGCCTTCAAGATGCTGATAAACACAGCTTTTGAAATCCCTCACTAAAGGCTATGCTGGCTGGAACTACCAGGAGTTAGCAACATTTGGCAAACGATGGAAATTATGGCTGTCTACACACAGTCCAGTTTAATGTTATAGTGCTCTGTTGGAAACACAGCAGATCTAATTTAAAGAATGGCAAGTTTGGCTCTTAAGTAGAAAGGCCAAACAGACTAACACTGTTGCCCTTGGGGATAGGCTGCAAAGAAAAGGCATGTCTGGACTGACAAAACAAATTCTTGTTTCAACTGGTTCCTTCCTCCATCCCAGAAAGAAATAGAAAATGTTTTCACCCACCTTACAAACTCTAGCTATCCTGGGAATCATCAGTTTGTTAAGGAATTCATATTCCACTGACACCTCAGTGAAAAAGAAGTACACTTTGTCGTCATCTTCATCAAGGCTTTCTGGATCAGCTCTTATCACATCAGCAAAAATAAAATTTGGTTCTATATAAAGAAAATATAAACCACATTGACCACCATTTTAATTATACTCCTGTGGCCCACTTTTCTGTAATTGTTCATTGGATACTTTTTATTATTTCCATTTTCACAAACCTAACAGGAAAAGCTTTGAGACACCACAAACTCTTTTCATGGATTAAACTCAGAGATCAAGATTTACGTGCATGATTGAATGAGTGATTCCAATCTAAATTTCTTGTTTTACAAAATGAGGAAAACACATGCATAGCTCCCAAAACATATTTTGATAAAATAGCATTGGATGAAACCCAACAAAATATTCTATGGGGAAGAGAGTTGCAGAAACAGCATGTAAATAACAAGTCAAGCAGGTTACTTTCCTTGCTGTTTGCTGGTTGTTTGCTGGTTGAAAAGTCTCCAGGTCATTCATAATCAAAACCAAATTGGTTAAATCAAAACCAGCATCTAAATACTGAAATCATTACTTGGAATTTTGGCATCGCTTTCAAACATAGATGGAAAATTCAGGAAAAAAGGTTATTTTCTGCAGCTGTGGGTTTGAAAGCAGCACTGGTTGTTATTGTTTAGAAAAAATAGGAAAAAATCTACATCAGATAAAACCTGACAGTTTTTGAATAACATTTTAGCGTAGGTTTTTTTAAAATTCAAGGTCATTGTTAAAATTTATCTAGGATCAAACCCCCTCTAAATTTCCTCACCATTAAGCCAAGGAATTGCATATTCTGTCCTTAGTGGATTTTGCAGTGAGTTCCTAGAAATAATAGGTTCACTTCCTAAAAAATTGTAAGATGTTGCAGAGTAAAGATCCCCATCTGTGGAACAACAACAAAACAGAATAAAACTAAATGTATTTCTCTTGAAACATTACATGACATTCTATTTTGCTTTCCCATCCGGACTAAAATTAAATTGCTTTCTTCTTACCTGTCAAATCTCTATATACCACTTCTCTATTTTTTAAAGCAAATACTCTGTATTGCTTTTAAAATAATGACAGAGAAATGTTGCTTTTAAAATAACGACAGAGAAATGGGAGAAACCCACAAATGATAAAAATATGTGCATTGTCATGGAAAAAGAAAAGTGTTTTTTTTTAAAGTGGGGAAAAATTAACAAAAGAAAAATAAAACGGTGCAATCCTTTAAATGTAAAGAGTTACAATTCTGTGCAGTTATTTAATGCAATTATTATTTGATTACCTATTTATTCCTAATGTACCTCTTTTCTATTCCTATATAAACTTTGCATTTGTTGGTTGAATTCTTTGGGGTAGAAGTAGAAAAGAGTGATTTTTAAAAATTATGAGGAAAGCTAAATTTAATAAGAACAGCTTGTGCCAAATTACTTTTTTTAAATCAGAAAAATTCCGTTCTAAAAAAATAGCTTGAAAGAAACTTTACTACTGCTAAACAAACATGTATATCTTCTTGATTTGTTTCAAGAATAACATTGTTGAAATTATATACTTACCAACCATGACTGATGTATAACTTTGTGCAGGATCAAATGGGCACCTTCCTTTACCATCTTCATTTCTCCCCATAAGCTTAAATGTTGTCAGATTCTACAAAACAGTTTAATTTTTATTTATTTATTTTCTATTTGAAATATAAGTAGCTACATTCCACCTTACAGTTGTGAACATATGGAATATTTCTCAGTTCTACCAATTAAAAGAGCATTCTTTTTATTTAATTGTTAGATNTATCTAAATCTAAATCTAAAAGTTTCAAAATCTATCCACAATATTATTAATAGAATTTAATAGAATTCTATGGTCACATAATAAGACGTTCTCACAAAATGATTACCACAGGGTGTTTATGAGTGTAATCAGTTAACTTCCATTAAAAAATGTACAGGTTTGCAAGGACCCAATATTTGATATAATAATGTCACTTCTCGGATCCAGGATATTATGGGAAATACACATTATTCCTGAAGCTGGTGCTTTGTGTCACAACATGAAAGTTTCTATTCTTAAAAACAAATAATTATACAGGTAGTCCTCAACTTGCAACCATTTGTTTAGCGACCGTTTGATGTTACAATGGCACTGAAAAAAGTGAGTTACAACTGGTCCTTGCACCTGCAACTCTTGCAGCATCTCATGGTCACGTGATCAAAATTCTGGCACTTGGCAACCTGTTTGTATATATGAAGATTGCAGCATCCTGGTGTCATGCGATCACCATTTACGATCTTCCCAATAGGCTTCTGATAAGCAATGTCAATGGGGGAAGCCAGATTCACTCAACAACCTCAAGTTTCTATTAACAACTGCAGAGATTTGTTTTAATAACCATGCCAAAAAATATTGTAAAATTGGGTTGAATCACTTGACAACCAGCTTGTTTAGCAACAGTATTGGTCTCAATTGTTGTTGTAAATTGACAGCTACCTGTATGCAAGATTAGAAAATGCGGTGGACACTAGAAAACAATGGTGGACAAATTATCATCCCTGGGGTTCATGCTGTGGATACAAATTAAAATTAAACCTATGTATGCTTCATTTTGTGACTACTGTGAGTCAAGGCTTTACGGTATTAAAATTCCAATTTCATCACATTACTGGGCAGGCTGGGATTAGGTGAGGTAAAAGTAGTGATTATTTTTATGGGAGGTAAGTCTTGTAAACAAGAAAGACTACCAAGTGAAGTTATTTCTCTTTCCACAAGGGTCAATGTGCAAATTTCAGTTCATAAAATATAGATGTATTAAATACACATCACATCATCTACTGGAAGGCCTATTCCCCCCCCCCCCCAAAAGTAATTATAACAATGTCTTTTAATATGTCTGCAACCAATCTGTTTTCTACGCAAAGTTGTTTTTATCCATTTCAACATCATATAAGTCATATCATACTTAGAAATAATCTCAGAAAATTTACTGGGAATGCAAATAAACATGTACAGAATTGTTGCCTTAGTAAGTTACTCAGTTATAATTATGTTTCTAAGCAAAAGCATATTCCTCCTTAATTTGTTTGTTCTGGTTCATTTTCTTTTATGCCTCTATAAAAGGTGAACTAGGAGATGTAACACAATGGATATGAGGAGTCACCAAGAGTCAAGTGGCACACAAGTTTAACATTATTACTGTTATTATGATCACCATTATATCTACTAAAGTTAATATAACTTAGTATATTATACAATTTGCCTAATGGATGCCCAGCCTGACTTGATGCTGATTCTGGAACATAAACTGGAGGGGGAAAAAATCAGAGTTCCAGTTTCCATAATACATAGGAAAATAACTAAATGATGTTTCCATATTTTTTTCAAAATGGAACCAAATCTGCAAGAAAGGCTAAATTCTTGAGGATGAGACCCAAATTTTATAGAAATTGGTAGAGAGAATTTGAGGCATATTATACTTTGAATAACAATGCATTCAGACCAGTGGAAGGTCCAATTAATCCTTTGCCAGAACAATTTAACCAAATCCCACCTTCTATTCTCTCAGGATCAATAGTAAAGTGAAGGATACTGCTAATAAGGATAAAAGAAAGGAAGAGACATTGGCACTTCAATATTGTTTACAATTTAATGTAGTAAAAACTGTGTGATGAAAGAATAATCTGCAATGTATGAATAAGGAGTAAGTAAAAATTAATAAAACTGAGAAACCATAGGAATTTGTATTATATATTTAAATTTAATTCTGTGGGGGCGCAAACCACAATTACACTGATCTCAGATGCACATCCGTCCATCCGTTGGCTTCTCACCGCTGTTCTTCCCTTCTCACAGGCTGTACATCACCAGTTTTTGTCATCAACCACAGCTGTAGTCCACACATAAGACAGCTGGTTTCTTTCTTTTGCCACATGCAATACCCAAAACCAGACTATCTTCCTAACTTCAAACCAAACAGAGTGTGATGAATTCCTCCCTCCCTCTTCATTTTCCATGTTGAGGGCAGTATTTGTGTGCATGCACATGTGTGTCTCCAAAAGGTTTACTTAATCATCGAAGTGCCATCTTGTGCATTCCTATATCAAGTAAGCCCTAGTGAGCTGGGAAAATTAATAAAGAAATTTACAACTACACTACTCAGCTGCAATACCCTCCTCAGAAGTGGAACTTCTTGGGAAGCAAACATTCATGAGGATGAGGTTAACAAAACCAAGTAGGAGAAGGTGGCTGCTCTTAGGATCCAGCCTGGCATCACAAGAACATTTATCTATGCCATCAACATTCATTCAAGATATATGTAATTCTATATATATACATTTTTATTAGGCCTTCTAAATATTTATGTAATGTGAACATTTCCCCAGAAATGGGATCACTGGCTACAAACTGGTGTTAATTGCAGGTGGCAGCCAAAAAGCCAAATTAATTTGACACAAATTTTGAGAAATTAAAATTAAATTCATCTGATTTCACAGGACAAATGTTTCCTCATGTGATACAACTTATGAATTTCTGGATAAAGATTTAAAAGAATATCCTAAAACTGCCAGTCAACTACTGAAATGTTCTTTGTGAGAAAGAAGCAGGGTAAATACGGAAGGTATTTACAGGTAGCATTAATCTCACCAAATACTGAACTTTTATCCAAACAAAACAAAACAAAACAAAACAATTATATCCCATCAGAGAACACTAACTTGTTTTGCTAAAGTATCCTACCAATAACTTTCAAGGGTCTTTGGGGGGGGGGGAGGGATTGAGGATATTGGAAATTTTTATTTTGTATTTATAATTTTACTTTTTATTTTATTGCCAGTTTTTTTTATCTCTAGAGCTTTCCCTCTTGAAAAAAATAACAAAACAAACAGGTTTTATTGTCTGAAAATCCCTATTCAACTTCCCTGTTCCACACAATTCTCAGAGGTTTTATCAGAGTGTTATTTGCTGGCTTTCACACACACAAAAAATATATACTCCAAACGTTAATACAGCATAGGAGCACATGGCTTTTCAATGCTATCTCTTTACTCCTACAAATGGGCACAGACCTCAATATATGTTGATGCTGCTCAGATAATTATGTATTTTTATTACATAAGATATGATTTAGATTGCAAACATTTTATTATGCAATAATCTAAATGTTTACAGTTCTTTAAAATCATAAGCAATGCAGAGAGAAGTCCCATTTACCTCATGCACGAAACCAGTAGTTAAAGAGCAACTCAATGGCAAATTCATTATGAAAATAGCTCATAGACAATTATTTCTGCAGTAGTGCCTCTGGGTGAATGTGGAAGAAAATCTTTGGATACAAGGAAGAAAATATAAATGAAATATTTTTTTTTTACTTTTTGAAGCTGATTATTAGTTGGAATTAGGACTTCCTCTGAAGTTGATTATAAGCGTTGAATACTATGTTTTAGTTCTAATTCTTCTTTGAAAGATTAAAAATCCTGATCTACTACTTTACTTCCTTTTCTGATAGCTATTTATTTATTTTCATCTTCATTGGCAATCATATTAATGTTTTATATTGAAAACTGGGATAAAATGATAAAAATGTTTTGGTGACTGCGTCAATTTATATTACTTTAAAAAATACTGCTGGCGTTAAATGCATAAAATAATATATAAAGCAGGAAACATCAAACAGAAAGTTTGATGGTAGATAGTATCACTAAATAAATGTTCATAAAATGTGGATATTATCCCTCTCTTATTTCTGTTTTTTAACAACAGAGAAATTCATAATTTCTGGTAAATAAAATAATGACTGATGTGTTAGTTCCCATCTCCTGTCCCATTTTGAAGATCTTTTAAAACTAGATTTTTACCCCAAAATTAATCCAAAATTAAGTGTTTTTTTATCTCTTAAATGTAAACTTTGTCTTAGTTTGTATATACCATATTTTATAAACAACTCTACCATGAGTCTTCTCTGTTCATAAAAAATATTCAATAGAAATCCCTGAACACTAAAACTTTCATCTTGGAAAGCCTAACCAATTCAATAGCATTGAACCCTGGGGTTGAGGTGGATAAACTGAATTAGACTAATAAATGTGGTGGTGGTGATGGTGGGGTCTGTGGCAGATCACCTACTAGACTTCTTGAACCCAAAAGTTCCACTTATTCAGATGTTTGAGAAAATTACAAGAAAGCATACATGTGATTAAGCATACATATGGTTAAAATGAAAATGAGGCCAGAAAGAACAATAATAAATATTATCCAAAGTTTTGCATGCAACAAGCAAAGACATTAAAATAACAGAGAAACACTTAGAATTGAATTCAACTCTCTTTTCAATTGAATGACAAGAGATCTGTGTTACTATATAATCTTGTGCTGCACATAATTGGAAGCCAGACAGATGGATATGGAATCTGTTGACTCTCCTTTTAAAATATATTTATCTTTTTTATTGTGGAGTACTTTAGTGGCAGAACTAATAATCTTTGTGTTTTGGGATAAATTAGTATGTGTCATCCAAGGAAACAGCTGCTATAGCTAAGCAGTGTTATCTACTGCAAATGATCTACCCATTTTTGAAGTCTCCATAAATCCCTCCAAAACAAAATTATTTTAAGATGTTGGTTACATTTTATTACAATTATCCATAGGTATACA